CTTGAAAATGTGGAGACAGGAGGGAAGGGAGAAGGAACAGGGGACTCTTGGGGTCAGCAGCCAAGGGCTCTGGTCCCCACCCTGCCCCTAGCAAGCTTTGTGACCTTGGGCAAGTCACTTCCCTCTCTGTGCCTCAGTTCTCACTCACCTCTGAACCAAAGAGGTGGGCGTGATGCCCAGGAAGGGCTCTCCTAGGACTAGCCTTCTCCTGCCCACAAGCTGGGGCCTCCTGGTGGCAGCAGGTGGCCAGTGAGGAAGTGCCGGGGCCAGGGGTTGGGGGGGCGACCCTGATGGAGACACACAGGTGGGAGCTCAGACACTTCCAAGCCCAGGGCCAGCCCGGGAGGGGTGGGGTGAATAGCACTACTGACATTTCAAGAGCCCACTGGTGTCCTGAGGCCTGCCTGGGGTCAGTCTTCCTCCCCTGTCCCAGTCCAGCTATGACAGGTCCCTTAGGCAAGCCATCTCCTCTATCCTGGTCTCCTCATCTGTGAACACTTACTGATGGTCTTACCTTCTCTAAGGCCTACTTCTCAGCGGGATAGAAGAACCCAGAACAGTTTTCAGCCCACCTGGATGAGAGGGGCAGGCCTCATGCCACGGCTTCTCCCACGGGCTGCCTCGGCGAGGGCCAGAGGCTGCCTTCTAGATCAGCAAGCATGGCAGGTCTGTGTGGCCCACGGGTACCGGGCCTCCCAAAGGGGGCTGACGCTTTCCTCTCCACAGCACCTGCCTTCAGTTCCTGCTGACGGGTGTCCCTCTGACTGTGGACAGGGTCTCAGCGACAACTTCGGTGGACAGGTTGCTCCCCTCAGGCTCAGTAAGGTTAAGTGTCAGCGGTGGTCAGAACTTGTCCGGAGGGGCCCTGCCTTGGAGGAAATGGGGAGAGGGGACACACACGTGTCTGGAGTAGTGGGTGAGCTACTGGTAGGCTGGATCTCTCCCTCTCCCATATCCTGCAAAGCCCAGCCCAGCTGCGTCCCCCTCTCCACCCCAGCCCTGCGACACCAGATCTTCCTCTCAGGGCGTTGCAGGGGGACGTGGTCACCCACCTGTCCCAGGGCCAGGAAGCAGGAGTTCTTGACCCCCCCGGCCCCCGACCTAGGCCCATCCGAGGCTGGGCCACTCTAACACATGCTCCAAGTCAGGCCCACGTTACCCCTCTCCTGGGCTGTTGGCCGACACCTACTAACTACCCCAGTTTCACAGCTGGTCCCTTCCTCCCTGGCCGCCAGCGACACAGCACCCGTGTGCACCTTCCTTCATACAGGTGCCCTGCCCCCTAATGCCCTCGATGGCACCCTCCCCCTTGACCCCTGCAAAGCTCCTCTGTAGCCTTGCAGGTGGGCTGTGGGAGAATCCTGAACCACCCCCTTAACCATCTGGCCACAGGGCTGTTCCCCTCCCTCAAGCCTCACCTCTGCCCAGGCTGAAGCCCCCTACCCTGTCGCAAATCCTATTATCCTTCACAGTTCCTCTTGACCCGCCAGGCTGAGTCCTCCCTAGCACCGTTGAGAAAGGACTGGTAAAATTCTGCTTGTTAGACCAAACCAGGCAGCCTCAGGGGCAAGGACTGGGGTCTGCACAGCGCCTGGCCCAGAGTTAAAAATGCAAGTTAGCTCCTTTCCCTGCCAGCCCCTGACACATGGTTTGGGAACCAGCACCCTCTCCTCCCACGTCCAAGGCTCACAGAGGCCCCAGCTCCCCCCTTAGAGCTTAGGTAAACTAAGAAAACTACTGTTTGTGACAACTACTGTTTGAACAGCTTTTCCATTTGTCCTACAGTGACTGATTTCACCCTCGTGACAACCCCTGGGGGGTTGCTTACAGTCTCCACTTTACTGATGGGAAAGCTGAGCCCAAACGCAAGGAGGGGCACCTCGCCTGAGGCCCACAGGTGGGCAGGGGTGGGGGCCTGAGACTGGGTTTTCTGACCTCAGAGCCTGCTCAGACCAAAGGTCTAGGTCGAGAGACCTGGGCTGGGCCTCCATGTGGCCCAGAATAAAGAACGGGTGAATGAGGCAGGGCCTCTTCCGGAAGCCAAAGCTTACCAAAGAGAAGGGCCCCAACCTTCCACGAGGTGAGGGGTGGGGAACTCAGACAACTCCGCAAGAGCAGGTGACAAGCTGCTTCTGTGGCTCAGACAGCTGAGTGGTCAAGTGGGAGGGAGGGAGGGAGGGAGGGACCTGTTGTTGTCTGGGTTTAGGGCCATGCAGCCCAACCCCCACCCTGCAGGGTCCCTACCGGACCCACCGTGAGCCTGTGATGCGTGAAGGGACCAGGAACACCTGTGGTCCAGAACAAGGCCGGATGGGGGGACATCCCTGCATCGGGGTGGCCCTGGGAGGTTTCGAAGGCACCAGCCAGCCAGGCCAGCAACGGGCCCACAGGGGGTCTGGGAGAAGTTCTCAGAGGAACATGCACTTTGACTTTCAAGGAGCCCATGGGGGTCGTAGGGGCCCGACGTCTGTCCCCAACATTCCCACCGCGCACCCCCCACCCCCTAGGATGGGCGGGACTGGAAGGCAGTAGCGAGAGACGGGGCCTGGGGGCCTGGGGTGGCAGGGAGAGACAGGGGTGGTAAGGGCCGGCGGGGGCACTGGCGATGGAAGGCGGGGCTGAGGGCGCCGGGGAAGGGGCAGTGCAGGAGCCCGGAAAGGAGTGAGGCTGGACAGTGCGGAGCAGGGATGGGAGGGAAGAAGGCAGACCAGGGGACAGGGGAAGTGGGGACGGGCCAAAGGAAGCGGAATTTTTCCATTGAGAGCAGAAGGCCTGAGAGAGACACCCCTGACTCGAGTGATTCCCCCAAGTTGCCCCCCACCCCTGGAGCCGAGCTCTGAGCTCAGCAGAAAAGGCAGACAAGCCAAGTGCTTAAATGGGAAGGCTCCAGGCCAGAGCCTGGGAAGGCCAAGCAGGGCCCGGCGGGCGGCAGAGTCCAGTGGGCCTGCCCCCAGGCCCCCCCACCCCCGAACAGACCAGCCGTGTGCGTGTGCGTGTGTGTTGGGGTAGGGAGTGCTGCCCCCCAGCTCTAGCCTCCCATGGCCCATCTCCGCATGCTGGCCCCATGACCAAGTCAGCATTCTGTGACCTGGGGCGGGGTGTTCCCTCGTCACAGTGCTGCTGTGGGTGCACGGAGGTGATGGAGACAGGGACCTCGTGACCTACGACGGGGGCATGAACATCCCCTACCTAGGTCAGCCCAGAGACAGGGTGATCGGCGGCCAGTGGCCCTGCTGTCCTGGGCCTCCCCAGCAGACCCTTTGGGTTCATGGCTTTCCTTTTCGCCCTGATTCAGCAGTTTCTGAGACAGCCAGCTCAGCACTGCTACTCCCCAAGCAGGTAAGAGGCACGGCTTGGGGGCTCTTCCTAGCCTCCCTGAGTTTGTCAAGCAAATGAAGAAAATGGGCCCCGGAGAAGAAGAACCTGAAAAGCCGGAGGAAGCACCCACACCCTCTGGGAACCCAGGGGAGCCAGGCTGTGCCCCCCTCCCCAGGATGAGGAAGCTGGCCTCCTCACGGGAATCCCAGCCCTGGCAACCCAAGTTGACCCGTCAATTCTGAGCACCTGCCGAAGACCAGGAACGTGAACAGGCTAACACAGGCCTCCTCATGGGACCCAAATCCAGACCCTGGCCTGGAGCCAGCCTATCGGGGCCCTCCCAACCCCCCGTCCAGAAGACTCGTTTTCTAAAGACCCCCAGCCCCTATCACGGACCCTCTGCCTAGGAGGAGAGTCTTCTTAGGTCTAACGAGTCCCTCCTGCCGCAGGAAGCAGCTCCACTGGATGCCACGTTCTTGGACACTTCCCCACACCCCACAGACCTTATAAGCGCGCACTGGCGACTCCGGGTTCAGGGCCCCGCCCCCGCCCGCAGCCACTCAGATGAGTTCACTGACTTAAAGCCCCGTAGCAGCCAGCACGCCCCCAAGCACCTGCCGCCCACCCCAGCTCCCTCCTGCAGCCTGCAGGCGCTCTCCCCTGCCCGAGGTCTCACCGCGTCATTCTGCCCTACACACACGGGGGATGTCCAGGCAATCAAGGAGGCCCTCAGGGCGAAGGAGTCCTGAGGAGGAGCCCAGCGCGGTCTGGGGTCCGGGAGAGCGCAGGGTGTGCACGAAGTAGTGGGGGAGGCGAGGTCTGCACCAAACGTGGGTCCAGGGCGCCCCCTAGTGGCTCCCCTGCGCACCCAACCCAGAAGCTTGCTGGGGGGTCCTCGCCTCCCTCCTCCTCCACACCCTAGAGACTGACAGCTTCGGAGAGCAAATTATGAACAGGCATTTTGCTTACATTGCTTTATTCAATCTCTCCCCAGCCGTCCAATCCCCTATTTTGGGGATCAGAAACGCTAGGCTCCCAGGGATGGAAGCACACTCCAAAACCTATGCTCATTTTCTCCATGTCCCGGGGGGCCCCAAGGCGGCTGCCAGCAGAATGGGGAGTTCCCGCCCCGAGGGCCCACGGGTGGCTGGGAGGGTGGCGTGGGGGACAAGGTGGGCGTGGGGGCCCCTGTGCTCAGATACCACCGCCGTGACAGAGCCCCCACCCCACAGCTCCAACAGCATTTTACTGGGGTCTAAGACTACAGTTCACACAGGAAGGTGCGGCCACGTGAAAAGCAGGGGTAAAAAGGGGGCTTCACCACCCCCTCCCCGGGGGATGGCTGCTTCAAGTCTAACAAAACCCCAGGGAAAGCCCTCGTGCTGGGCCTCCAGCCAGCAAGGCCAGTCCCGTCCCAGGGGGCACAGGCCAGTGCATGGAGCCAAGGGGCCCACAGTGGGGGGGGGCGCGCGCGTGAGGATGAAAGCTGAGGCTGCAGAGTCGGGATTCCGCCCCCCTTCCCACCAGAGCCCGCACTGGCACATGTTTGCATAGACAGCAAGACAGATGCAGCCAAGGCCTTTTCCCAGCAGACGGGGCATCAGGGTGGCACTGCGTGATTCTGCTTCCCTTCGGAGCCAGAGGAGAGTCCCGTGGTCCCCAGGGCCAGGGGATGCCAGGCCTCAGCCCCTCCCCGGGCCCCGCCAGTGTCTGTCCTTCTTTCCTGACCTGTGGGGAGACACAGGGCGGGGGCAGGAAGAGGTCTTCAGGGGACGATGCCACGTGGTGAGAAGGGGCTCCTGGAGGGGAGGGGACCCTGTTCCTCCAAAGGCAGCCAACACAGGGACCAGGCTGCGACCCCAGGATGAAGTCCCCAGTCAGGGCAGCAGGAAGGCGAAGCAACCCCCCTAGCCCCGGACGCCTGGGTCTGAGCAGAACAGAGCAGCTCAGAGGAAACCTCCCTCCCCCCCAACAACCCCGCCGGGTCCGGCCAAGAGGGGCCGCCCAGACCACTACAGAGTGAGCTCCTGGAAGACGGGCTCCGAGGGTAGCCAGCTGCGGATTAAAAGTGGCTCCAACGAAGACCCCTCCTTAGCGCCCCTGCTCCTCCAGATACGGCCCCCCTCCACTGGCCCCGGCCCCCACCTCTTCTTTGGTGCCTTGTCTCCAAAGAAGTGGCTGAAGATGAAACTCTCCAAGTCATCCACCTCATCATCATCACCGGTCTGTCGCACGGCCACCTCTTCCAGGCTGTCCTCCAAGGCATCCACGAAGTCCCGGAAGCGGAGGCGATCGTGGCGGAAGAAGCCGTCCTCGCTGAAGTAAGCAGGCGAGAGGGGCAGCTCCTTGGACAGCTGCCCGGCCCAGGGCAGCCGCGCCAGGTAAGCCCTCAGCAGAGAGGCCAGCTCCTGTTGCCGCACCGGGGCCAGCTCCACGCCGAAGTCCAGGCCCTCCTGCCGGGCACACTCACGCACGCCCGAGCAGCCCTGGGGCGCCCGGTACTTGTGCCTCGACAGCGCTGCCCACAGTGGCAGGGGGTCAGGCCCGGCTTTAGCCCCCTCCCTGCCCTGAGGGTGCTTCTGCCTCTCCGCGGAGGACTGCGGGCCCCCACCCTTCCTAGGGGGCTCCTTGGGGCCCTGGCGCTTGCCCTCCTTCTTGCTGGCCCACTCCCCCTCCCTTGGCTTGCCCTCCTTCCCCTTCCCAGCCAGCTCCCTGTCCCCCTCACCCCGCCAGCCTTTCTTTCTTTCGCGGCCAGACCCCTCCTTCCTGTGCTTCCGGGGCTCAGCGTTCCGGTCCCCCCGCCCATCCCGCCACTTCTCCCTCCCACTCCCTTCCCTAGAACTCTGGAAGTGGGCCTCTGAGTCATTGGCACGGACCCCAGGATGCTCGCCCCAGTTCTGCAGGCCCTGGAGCTTCTGGGCCAGTCTGTGGCCCAGCTCGGTCAGGCCAGCAGGCGCCGGGTCCCCGCGGCCCACGCCCCCTAGGCTCTGCTCCAGGTCCTGCTGCATGGACCCCAGCAGCTGCCGCGGCCTCTCCGGCTCCTGCCTTAAGGCCTCAGCCTCAGCCTCAGCCTCTAGCCGCTCCTTCTGCTCCAGGAAGCCAGCGTCTGGCTTCTGCTCCCTGGGGCCCGGCTGCTCGGTGACCCTGCCACCCTGGGAGCCCCAGCTGAAGCACACCCCATCCGGGCCCCGGACGCAGTCGGCCTCCAGCCCCTGCAGCTGGGCCCGCAGCTGCTGCAGCTCCAACTCCAGGGCGCGCTGCGAGGACTGGCCCTGCTGCAGGGCCCCACGCAGCCGGGCGTTCTCCTCTTCCAGTTCTCTGGGCCGCTGCATCAGGCCCTGAAGCTCTTCCTTCTGGGCCTGGGGTGGGGGGTGCCACAGGAGGGCCCTGTCAGGCCCGGCCCAGGGCCTCCCACCCCATGAGCGTCCACCCCATTCCCACGCAGAGAATTTGGTTCTCCTTCTCTTTGCCACCCACGACCTGCACCCAAGCCTGCAACCTCAAATTCCCTCCCAGACCATGGCTTCTGCGTCCTTCTGTAGGCACATGCTGCGATTTGCCTGAGATTAGCCGAATGTGGCTCTTGCTGTCCTTTCGACCTCCCACACCCAGAACAGACATTATTAACTGACCCCCACACTGCCTTCCCTTTCGTGCTTCCACGACTCCAGGCAAAGCAGAGCCATCAACTGGGGGCCCAACGGGCAACAGGCACGCCGGCCTGGGCCTCGGCAGGAGGAGTGTGAATACACTCTCCAGGGGACGAGAGAGGGCTGAGGTGGGGGGTAGCAAAGACAGCTTCTTCTGGGGGAGGACACGAGGGCAGCACCTGGCTGAGGGGGGGCCCGCCTGGCACCTGCCCCGCACGTGCGCACCTGCAGCTGGGCCTGCAGCAGCCGGATGTCCTGGTTCTCCTTGGCCAGCCTATCCAGCAGCAGGGCCATGCTCTGCAGGCTGGGGACGCTGTCAGAGGGTCCTGGGACCCCATCCTGAGGGCAAAGGAGCCAGTGACCCCTCCTGCCCCACGGGCCAGGCGGCCCTGGACGGCCCCAGCCGGCTCCGCACAGCTCCGGGCACAGGGGTCATACCTGCCCGTCCCCCACGGCATCACGCACCTCCGTGTCCAACCCCGTGTCCGGGAAGACCTGCAGTTCTACTTCCTCCACGGGCCCTGCAGGAAAGCCAAGTCCCCAAACGGCCCCAGCACACACCAGACCCCTCTCCCACCCACTCCCTCCCCTACACTCACACGGCCACTCTCCTGCCCCGGACCCAGGCCCCACACATGAGAGGACTGGCAGCGAAGGGGCCCAGGGTCGGCATGGACAGCCAAAAGGCCAGTCACTGAGTCAGAGATGGCCAGCCCCAGAGAACCGGCCCCGGCAGCCTCCCCCAGGGCTCGGCCAGGACAAGCCAGGCCCCGTCCCCACTCACCCCTGTCCGACTCTGACAGACCACCTGCGGATGGAGACGGAGGAGCGTGGTGAGGCCCACAGAGGACGGGGTGGGGGGCAGGCTGCGGTGTGGCGGGAGGGCCAGAGGCGGACACAGGCCCCAGCAGGGGAGGTGCGACTCACCGGAGAAGAGGAGGATCCCCAGGCCCAGCAGAACCAGGGCCCCAAGGACGCACATGTTGAGGGAGATGCCCAGCTCGCAGCCCGCACCCTCGCCTCTGGCCTGGTCCTCCGCGCCCAGGGGCCCCGCGGGCTGAGGCGCACTGGGCTGCCGGCCCCGCCGTCTCCGCAGACCCTCCACGTCCACATCGGTGTCGTCCTCGCTGCTAGAGCAGTGGGCCTCCTCCCTGGGCCAAGCTGGAGGAAGGGGTGGCAGTGAGGCCACCGGACAGCAGGACACCGTCAGAGACCGCAGACGGGGGCGCGCAGGGACCCCGGCCGCGTCCGCCCGGGCAGCGGTGACTGCCCCGCCCAGCTGAGGGGGGCACCCGTCTCCCAGGTTGCAAACTCAAGGAGCAGCTCTACCCTAACTCAGCCTCCTTCCTCTCACGCGTGCCTCACCTCAAGCACCCTGTGCAGCCTCTATCTGCCTGGCCACCACCTCTCGGGCCTCCTGGCTCTTCCTGGCCTAAAGGGAGGGTGCTTGGGGGACGGTCCGCCTCACTGCACACTGTCGCCCCCACCAGCGACTTCGCTCCACGACAGATGAGCCCCCGGTCTCTGGCTCCTGACCCGGACGACTGGCCATGGGCCAGCCACTCCCGCCTGCCGTCGCCCGGGGACCAAGCTCTCAGCATGCTGCCCTCCACGCTGGTTCTCCTCCAGGCCCACCCCTCATTCCGAGAAAGGTACCACTGCTACCATCTGGCTGCCTAAGCCCCCCCGTCTGCCTCACACCCAGACAACTTGGCATCACATACCCCGGATCTGCCTGCCTGGTGGTCTTCAGCACTCGCCCCCTCCGTGGCCCCAACCTCTCCCTCCACCTGTCACCGCTCAGAGATGGGAGTCGTACACTGCTCGGCCACAAGCCCTGGACACCACCTCTTTAGCACAGGACAGGCGGACCCGTCCCTCTGCAGATGCCGCAGCCTCGGCCTGGAACATGCTCTCCCTCCGACCCTGCTGACCCAGAGCCTACTGTCTCTCAGGGCTGCACTCAACAAGCCCTCCAGTGTGAACCTTCCCCTGGGCGTGCCCGCCCCCCTCACCCTTCCCTCAACCTGGCCCCTGACGGGGCCCCTCCCCCTCTGAGGGAGCACCGTAACTCCAGCACCCTGCCTCCCTGGTCTCCTGGGCCCAGAGCAGACACATGTCGGAGACTCAGGGGATGAGAGCTGAATCGAGACGCGAGAGGAGAAGAAGCCCCGTGCCAGAGGGGAAGAGTCCGGCAGACCCGGGCCCTGCCACTTACCAGCTACGTGACCTTGGTCACATCAAGTAACCTCTCCGAGCCTCGGTGTCCTCAGGGGCAGTGGTGAGGATTCACTGACACAGCGTAAGGAGACCCCTAAGCCACTAAGTGCTAGGGCCCGGACGAGCACTTGGTCCCCCACTCCTTCCAGAAGGAGAGTAAAGAGGGGCACATCTCACCTGCATTGGGCAATGAAGGCAGGCTCCCTGGGGGGCTTTGACCCTCCGCATCCTCTGTGTCCGGTCCCAGGCCTGCTGCCCCAGGGGCCTCATCCGAGTCTCCCTGGACCAGTGTGTCTCCTGGGCCAGGGGGGCCCCCAGCACAGCCATCGCCTTCCAGGTCCCCCTGAGCAGACACAGCCGTGAGCACTCCAGGCCCCTCCCCGCTGCCCTCCCCCATCCACTGAGAGGTCCTCACCTCCGCCTCAGTCTTCTCTGACAGAAGGGGCCCAGACTGGGAGCTTTCGCTCTGGAAGACGGTCTCTGTGGTGGAAGAAAAGGCCCAGGAGAAACACCACTGCCCCGTGGTGCCCCAGATGAACTTCCTACACAGCCCTCTGGCTGCTGCAGGCCCAGCCGGGGTGGAAGGGCAGGAAAACACCAGGACGGGACGAGGCAGGAAGGCTTTAGACGATGACTAACCCAGGAAAGAAGAAGAACCCCCTTTCTCGGAGGAAATGGGGGCCCCGCCCCCAGGGGAGCCCTGTTACCTCCTCCAGCCTCAGCCCCAGCTAACTCTTCCAAAGCTGCCTTGGAGGGACTCCCGAGGGCCTGGGGGGCTCGCTCCGATTCTGTGTCCACCGTGGATTCCGGGCCCAGGGTCTCCACGGGCAGGCTCTGAGGGAAGGGTTGCAGGCAGAAGGCCGCTGCAGAGGACAAATCCGGGAGCACGGGGGGCTCTGCTGGGGTCCCTGGGCCCCGCCGCACTGCTCAGCGACCCCCACCCACATCTCACACTCAGTCATGAGCCAAGGCAAGGTGCGCGGCGGGGGTCGGCTGGACGTGGGCTTGGGCCGTTCCCTAATCTCACCTGCTGCTGTGAGGAACCTTCCAGAGGCTATTTCTGTTCAGTTAAAAAGTGCCACTAGACCAAGACACCAGATCACACAGCCCTGGTGCCCCCGCCCCCGCCCTCCCAAAGAAGCCGGCTGAAGCCTGGGTCTCCCCGCCTCCCCACAAATGAAGCCTGGCAACTGGCTGGAAGGTGGAGGAAGGCAAGAGTACAAAGCCCCCTGGGGGCTAAGGGTGCCCACCGGCTTCCCTGTAGCTGCCCACACCACAGGCCGCCCGCGTCACCTGTGTCTCCCAGGCCCTTCCAGCCCCTCCCCTGCCCCGCACACCCCGCCCCCCACCACCGCTGCTGAGAGAAGACAACTCACCCCAGCCCCACCTGGGCTCTCCCTCCCTGCGCACCCCTGCTCAGCAGGCCCACCACCCGCTCCCCACCCAGGGCTCCCACCACCCCTCCAAGAATCATTCTCCACCTGAGTATGTTCTTTGCAATTTTCAAACCACTTTTCTCTCATGGCCGCCCCTATAAGCCGGGGATCATGACCCCCCTTTTACAAGGGGAGGACAGAGGTAAAATCCCAGCAGTCAGCAAAGGCACCCAACAGGAGGCCAGGGCTCTGGAAGACAGTGTCCGTTCCTCTCCTCTGCTGCTGAGCCCCAGGACGTGTCCTGCCCCAGCACCTCCCTGAGGCCAGCTTCCTCCCTCCCCTGCTCCCCTGCTCCCCTCCTCCCCTCCAGGGAGCTCCCTGCAGTGCTAACACGGCAAGTCGCCAGGGCTGGGCCCCTTCACGACCCCCTTCTCCCTTCTCAGTGGCTCTGGGGACACGGGAGCCCACTGGCTTCCTCCCCTGCCAACCACCAGCTGCACTGCAGGACCCTCAAAGTGCTCCCCTGCTCACCCCACCCACACGGCAGCACCCCCTCTGCCCAGGGCAACGGACTGTCCTGAGTCCCTTCGACCCAAAGCCCTTCCGTGATCCCCCCTCAGGAAGACGCCTGTGTGCCTGGGTCTTCGGGGTTTCCCAGGCTCTGCCTCCCACTTCATTCCAGCACAGTCTAGCCCACGTCTCCACCTCATCCCGTGGACTGCCTCAGTCTCCCCGAAAATGGCTTTCCTGTTGCTGCCCCAGACGCTCCCCTCACGCCGGTCCCTACTTTCCACAGCTGTGACCCCATGGCACCCTTCTTTCAAGTCCTGGTCCAAGTCCCGCCACCTGATCCCTGGGCCGTTCCCTCTCTCCCCCCTCCTGCCCCTGAGTTCCCCTGGCAGCCAGCAGGAGGTGACACAGGTGACCATGGGCACCAGGGAAGGGCACAGACCCGGGGAGCAGCCCAGGCCTGCCAGAACCTCTCTTCCGTGGGGTTCGCAGGCCTGCTCGCCCTACCTCCGAGCCGGCAAGCACCCAGCTGTTGTCAGAGTCTGGGCAGGAAGCCATAGTTGCTGAGGCCTGTGAAGCCGCTGTCCCTGCCGCCTGCAGAGAAAAGCGCTCTTCAGGACCCCAGTTCCCTTCCGCAAAGGCAGGATGCAGAGAGGAGGCTTGGCTGGGTCCCAGGGCTGGGCAGCAGCTTCCAGAACCAACCCTTCTAACCCTAACACCTCCACTGTTCTGGGCAGTACCAGCCTCGCAAATCAAAACCTGTCAACAACCACAGAGAAATTCACCTCTCCCGGGGACCAGCGAGGCCTTGGGAGACTGGACTGATCCTGAAAGGTCAAAGCACAGGGCTGGAAAGGCTCTGGGGGCCAACCAGGCCAGCCCCCTCAGGCTAGAGTCAGGGAAGATGAAGGCCATATAGGATGGCTAACTTGACTTTGGCAGGGACAAGCAGCTGATGAGAGGAGTGAGGAAAATAACCACCCCAGACTTTCCCACCATCACCACCACCTCCCCCACCAGGGCTCAGAAGACAGGACTCCCACCCAGCATCAGCCCTTCACACGGTCTGGTTCAGGGATCCCCAGCTCCGGCTGCACACTGGAATCACCTAAGAATCTAATTTAACTGCTCTCAGGGTCAGGCTCAGGCCTGGGTCTTTTTAAAAACCTCCCAAATGGTCCTCATGTGCAGTCAGGCCTGAGAAGAGTTGGCAGATCCATTCGCAGGTACCCTTAGTAAGTCTCCTTGTCACGCCGATTCTCCTTTCTAGATTCGGTTTCCTTGCTCTGTGATCTGCAGAGTTCTATCTTAGGGAACTTGAAGGCTACGGGGAAGGGCTCTCATGACAGCTCAGAGTTACAAAGACTTTACAGTTTACAAAGCACTGCAGGGCTGTGGGCCTGCCCCTCGCTAATCTACTCTGACTTGGCAGGACTGGGGTGGGAAGTCCTCCAGCTTCCAAAGCCTGATACAAAGCAGGCTAAGAGGAGGGAGACCTATCCTGTCACTCAGGCCCAGGACTGTCCCCTCAGGCTGGGCAGCTGCAACTGGGGCCTGGCACAAGGCAGGAGGGGCAGACGAGCCGACCCCCCAAGTTTTGGACTGTGGTCCTTCAGATGGTAAGTGACTGTTTCCTGAGGGGCCAAAAGGGCAGCAAGTGGAAAGGGCTCTGTAAGCAGACCCCGGGAAGGGAGGGGAGGCTTGGGAAGAAGTACTGCAGCATGACATCCCCACGTGGCCCCCTTCTGTTTCAGCTGGTGCAAGTCCTCCTGCACAGTGCCCTAATGACCTGTGGCCACGGCTGGGACAGACACCTCACAGTGTCTTCCCCAATGCCCATGCCTCCCCAGCACAAGCAGCATCCCCAGGACACCCTGGCCAGCTTCTGCAGCATCCCCAGAGCAGCCGCCCCCCTACGCACACACTGGGCTGTCACTGTCCCCCCCCATCCCCAGTTGCTGGTCCCAGAGCATCTACTCCCCCCCACAGGCACACACTGGGCTGTCATCATCCCCCCCCGTCCCCAGTTGCTGGTCCCAGAGCGGCTGCTCCCCCCCACAGGCACACAGTGGCTGTCATCGTCCCCCCCC